CATCGTTGAAACTTTTTTTCCTTGGAATATTTAAACCATTTTGTATCCCTCTTTTCTTTTCGCCCTTCCTCTCTTTTGCTGGATGGTCCGACATCCGAACATCTTCGGCCGTGATAAGTTATATGGATAATTCGATATGGAGTCGTAAGTGGTCATTGGATAATTTTGCCCTGAAACCTAGCCAAATTCGAAACTAGCTTGCATGCACCAAATTTCTTCACTCTCGCATTTTATTGTCATTTAGTGATATTATTTTTAACATCAGGTCCCATGTTGCTACTGAAGATGATGTGGATGCAGCATTCAAACTCTTTGATTCCTCCACAATGGATGCTGCAAGGTCTGGAATAAATGAACATATTAACGTTACTGGAGAAATGGCAATTGAGATAAAGGTTAGACAAAGGAAATATTACTCAGAATTTTTCATAGCTTGCCAGTTCTTTACTAATTATATTTATTTCCACATGAACAGCAAGCAGAAACCCAGATCAAGAGAAGAATGGGCATTGGAGCTCGCTTATCAGAAAGAAGACTGATTGAAGACCTCAGTAGGATGGGGATGAATGACTCTATGGTAATCATCTACCTTGACAGCCATATCAATTATTTTTTACCTATGAATTACTGCCTTTTTATACTGCGCTCAACTCCTGTAATGGTTAAATATTTGGAAGTGATGAGAATCGCTCATCATTGCCTCCACACATACATGCAGGATTTTTGTTTTTCGTTTTGCATCTACGAGTTGAGTTGTTTTTTTTACCGACGAGAAGAGTTATTATGTTGATAGACAGTTGACCTATTCTTTTTGAGAATGCAGAGTCAGATTTTTTTTTACCATATGAATATGGATTTTTATATTTATGTATCTTTTGTAGCATCTTCTTGAGTTCACAATTTGATACTTCTGCTAACAGCATGCTATTGCCTGGCAGGTGCGAAGAGCTCTTTTGATTATGCATCAGAGGGGTGAAGTTGAATACCAAAGAGAGAGGCGTTCTATCGTTCGAAAAGCATAATCTGTTTCGAAACTGTCTGAAACCTCAACCGATATGTGTGAGCAAATAAATATTGTCTGAGCAAATCATTAGATCATCTCGCCAAGTTATAAATGTTTGTGAGAGAAACATTGTTTTCTAGTGTATTGTATAGGGGATAGTGAATGTAGGTACAAGCTAGAGTCTGGAGAGAATTTTACAAGCAAATATATATAAATCGATGATCAAGTGTTGCTTTTGATTGTGTACATTAAGCCCAAATATATAAGAAAATTTTGAAAGTCAAAGTTTAGCACCGATCAATACGAGGTAGGATTGCTAAGACCTGCTAGACGTAACCAATTGGGCTCCGTCAAACCCTCGGGTTTTATCTTTTAATTAAATTTTAACTTGTTTTATTAATATTTTGATTTAAAAAAATTATTGTCGTTTTATGGATTTTGGGCCCAAACCAATCCCATTATGGGTCCAAGCCCATGCCACGTTGGGCCCAAGTTGGGCACAATTCAAGCCCGATTTGGGCCCAAGCGAAGCCCATATTGGGCCCAGTTCGTTTGCTTTGGGCCCAATCCACCATTTTGGGCCGAATAAAGCCTTTTTGGCCCAAGGCAAGCCCATTTGGGGCCCAAACCCCAACCGTTTCGGGGCCAAGTCAAGCCCATTTTGGGCCCAGCCAATCCCATATTAGGTCTAGCAAATCCCTGTGTTGAGCCGACGTCAAGCCCTTTTGGGCCCAAGCCAAGATCCTTTGGGGCCCAAGTCGAGCCCATATTGGGCCTAGACAAGCCCGTTTTGGCCCATTTTGGACCCAGAACAAACCCATTTTGGGCCCAGCCAATCCCATAATGGACCAAGCAAATCCTGTTTTGAGCCCACGTCAAGCCCTTTTTGGGCGCAAACCATGCCCCATTTTGGGCCCAAGCCATGACCCATTGTGGGCCCAAGCCAAGCTCCGTTTTGGGCCCAATCCAAGGCCTTTTGGGCTCATGCCAATCCTCATTTTGAGCCCAAGCCAAGCCCATTTGGGGCCCAAACCCCAAACAAGCCCCGTTTTGGGGCCGAGTCAAGCCCATATTGGGCCTCGACAAGCCCGTTTTGGCCCATTTTCGGCCCAAAACAAGCCCATATTGGGCCCAGCAAATCCCTGTTTTGAGCCGACGTCAAGCACATTTTGGGCCCAAGCCATGCCCCATTTTGGGGCCAAGGCAAGGCCTTTTGGGCTCATGCCAATCCTCATTTTGAGCCCAAGCCAAGCTCATTTTTGCCCCATGCCAGGCTCATTTTGGGAGCCCATTTTGGGCCCAAATTTTACGCCCAAGCCGAGCTCAAACAGAAGCCAGTTGGTCCAAGCTACTCTTGGCTCATCCCAATCATTGTAAACCCAACCGGTTATGAAAGACTTGGTTCCATAGCCTTCTCCATATGCAATCAAACATCCATGAGGTGTTTCTTCATATATGCTTTGAGAGCATTATCATCATTCGTAGTATTATCATCAATTACTACACAAAAGCAAAACTAAATTAATAAAAAACGCTTTTTCTGTTCTCAGCCCAAAAAAAAAAAAAAAAAACAGCAGTGTTGGTAAGCTCATATCCCTGCTGTATTTGAAAGTTGCCATTGATTGTTGAACCCAAACCTCTTAACTGGCAGATGCCAGACCCGCGTAAAGTGCCGAAGAGGCACAATATACATAGCCTTACTGCGATTTGTCAACAAATTGGCGCAGAAGCTAGAATTTGCCTCAAAATACACTATTCAAGAATCCCCTACGAGAAAACCAAACAAACATGAGAGGATAATAGTTATTTACATACAAAAAAAAAAAAAAAAAGTTATTTCTTACCAAATTCCAGATGCTTTCTTAGTCTGATCTCTGCAAGTAAGAAAGAAAACTTGTTTGTCAATAATTTTTTCAAGTCATCAGCATGCACGAGTCATGGAATTTATCCACGTGATGAGCAGCGAAAAAGTTACCGTGGTTTTCCAAGAAATGCATTGTTAATTTCATCAGAATTTGGCTTTTCAGTAAATGTTGAGATTATAACATACTTTTCCTTCCCTGTAGGCTCATCTACCCTCTTGTAGAGTTCATATCGGTAAGGGTAAGACATTCTGAAAATTATGAAACGATAACATTGAGATACTGCCATATAAAATTGGTAAGGACAAGTTAGCATGAGATTAAAATTATTTGAGACCTAAATTCTGATTGCTGTACCTGAGAGCAGCCATAATTGGATACTGGGTTCCTGCGTAATACAGAAGCCGAAAGAAATAGCAATTCTCAAAAGAAGCAGCATATTCCAATCTCTTATCTCGACCCATTGTCTAGAAAGAAATATTAATGGTTAGACAATATCATTTTTCAAGTTTAAAATACTTAATTTTCGAAGTTCTGTACTTACTTGCATGATACCACTCGAACCAGGTAAATCCTGATTTACCAACAAAATAACCACAAATATAATGTTAATTACACAAAATAACTACCAAAGAAACTTAACAGAAAACAGTGGCTAGCATGCAGCAGTTGCACAAGTTTAATCTTGGAGAAATTCACATTGATAGAGAATATCTCATATTTTGCACCTCGGCATACAATTAAAACAACTCAGCAGAAGTTCTAGACAGTATCTTACGTCTATTCCCCTATGGAAGAACTTCTCAATAAATTATGCATGTTATTAAGTTCCATGGGATTAGCGAGTCTTAATATTATTAACATCTCTTCCAGAATCAATCAGAGCTCTATCCCATCCATTTTGTACTGAAAAGGAGGACAAACACATTGATGTCATTTTCAAAAAAAAATGGGCCTAAACATCATAATCCGGACCTTGAGCCGAGGATTAACAAGTATAACTGGCCGGTTACCAGCAGCATCAGTCATGGCTTTCAGATCCTGCATGTTCAATGCGATAATTAGAATGAATAAATAGAGAAATGAATTATATTTAAACTAAAAAAAGAATAAAGATCTCAAGCTCCTCACATCTATAATACAGTTCCCAACTGCATTTTGAGGAGCCACCAAGATGAATATGTCATCTTGTTCCCCGACCTCTTTTGCACCTGCAATAGCAAAGAATCATCCAACCATTTGAAGCAACTCATGGATTAAACCGCAATGATACTTGAACAGACTTGAGACAGCTATGAATCATTTTACTTTTTCAGATTACAATTACTTTGAACTTTCCTGTCAGTTATGTTGCAATTCTTTAATGGACATATTAAAATCCAACCAATGGGGTAACAGCCCTTGTGATGAGATCCCAGATGGCCCAAATTTAGTTCTAGGGAAGCAATCCCGTATCAAGGAGGGAACCCTTGGAAATCAGGATTTCCGAGGGATAATTACCCACGAGTCTGCAACCGCATGAGACTGTGCGCATGCAGCACAGCAGACATGCACACGCAGGCACAGTGACACCATGCGTGCTGGGCGGCGCAGGCCCCCGCCCGCGGCAAAATGAAAGTTCCCGCAGGTCCCGTCCCAAACAGGCAAGCAGTTCTAATATCTTTTTGTTTCCTAAACAAGATCGTCTCAAACAGAAAAGTGAATTCAAATTTCCTAAACTGAAATAGCCCAAAAAGAAAAGTAATTACATCCTTAACTTCTTTTTTAAATGAAATTGTTCTAAAAAATAAACCAAGTTTGTTCAAAAAAAGTTTAAGGCCTAAGTGATACTTCATGGACTTGAAGAAGCACAAAGCGAGAAGAAAGACCCGTTGTTGGCCCAACCGGAGAGAGGACCAAGCCTTGGTCCAAGACAAGGAGGCATCAAGGCCACAGCCCAAGGATGCCGCACCAAATGGGAGCGGGCTGGGCCATGCTGCGCCCTTGGGCAGCTTTGCCCCGCGCTTGGAAGGATGCTTGTGTGGGATGAGCAGCCCATATGCGAGGGAGAGGTTTGAGCGTGCGCAGCTCTGCTGCACGCTTGGAGGAGAGCTTGTGCGGGATGGGCAAGCCTCACATGCGACAGCTGCGCACATAGGAACCCACACACATGCAGGCCACGAGCGCATGGGAGCCACACACACACATAAGCTGCACGCACGCTGGTTAGGCGTGCGGGATTGAGTTTGATGCTGAGAAGGAGATTTCCTTGATCTTATTTCCACATGTGATTTTTATGGATATTTTTTTAAGGAGAATCCTACACAATTTCGAAGTCCAAAAGAGGATAAGATCACATGGAGATTCGACCAAGAGAGGAAGAGCCCTCCTCAAGTAATTATTTTAGTGTTTTTTTACTAGGACTAGATTATTATAATATTTATTTTGATGTTTCCTAGCCTAAAACATATTAGGAGTTTAGGTCGGATTTAGAATAATATTTCAACTTGGATTCGTAGAATAAACGCCTATATAAAGGCTTCTCCATTAGGCTTGTAATGGAGTTTAATCGTAACTACAACTTTCAAGCTTAATAAATTTTCAGCTTTACTTCTAAATTAGCTTTGCTAATTTTGAGTGACTGTTCTTCAAGGAGGTTGCTTTAAGCATCTTGTTGAGTCGGAGAATTGGAATTGACTTATCGAGTAAGTCGTAAGGTGTTTTTTATTCCTTTAATTTTTCTTATTTACCTTAGTTTACGTTCAATTTGTTTAGTGTGGTTCAAGTAGAGAGAGTTAATTAGGTGATTAAGTTTCTAATTACATATATTGTGTGAAGTTCTGGGAGTCAAAACGATCATTCCAAGTTCCTCTCGAATCACCTTGTCTATTCAACATGCTAGTTCTTGCTGGCATAACAATACAAACATCAGTCCCAAATTCTCAATGAACCATTATGTGTCAATTCCTGCAAATTTTATTCCTTTAAATGTCTATAAACAAAATTCTTAGTACATTTTATTAAATCGAACACATCAAAATCTAATAGGGAATGGGTTTCAAGATGGCAAGTCCCCTAACTTAGACATGCACTGATATGTGCATGTTCTGATTTAAATAACAACAGATACTAGTGATGCAGACAATGAGATATAAGATTAGATTAACACAAGGATTAAGACGGGGGATAAGGAATCTTAAGCTTCTCCACCCATTATCTTTCTCAAATTCAATTGGAACTTCAATAATGAAAGAGCAGGTAATCTTATGATGTTTTAACAAATAACCTTGCTTGTTCATAGCACATCTACTGGTTACTTTTATCTATGACCAAACAATGCGGCTATATTTATACATAAGACCTGGGTCAACAGTATCCAACGCACCAAAAATGAAGAGAAGAAATTATTTATGTATTATGATGAGAGGCTAGCATTCACCTCATATAAATTTCATCCTGATGTTCTGAGAAATGGGAAAAATTAGTTTGACAAATAAATAATCAATAGAATAGATTATGGGATTTACTGAAAAGTTTATACTATGCATAAGGTTTTCCATGGCAAATGGTTATGGAGGTACTTGAGGGAGGAAAACAGTTTATGGCGGAGGATTGTTGATTCTTGGTGGGGTGAGTTTATGAATTCCAAGTGGTATTAATCGTAATTCTATCCCCCACAGGAGAGGGTTATGGAGGATAATGCATAGGTCTTGTTTTCTTCAATGTACTAAATGGAAGTTTGGTAGAGGGAACAAGATTAAATTTTGGGAAGACAATTGGGTGGGAGATGGCAGCCTAAAAGGAAGATTTCCCAGGATTTTCAGCATCACTCGTAACAAGAATTTGGTTGTAGAGGAGGCATACCAGATTTCTAATGGGAATGTGGTTTTGGTCTATTAATGTTAATAGGAATTTGAATGATTGGGAGTTGGGGGAGTAAGAAGAATTGATGCAACTTCTAGCCATACAGAATGTTTCGAATTGTGATGATCAGCCTCTGGAATTTGGAAAAGAATGGCACATTTTCTGCTTCTTCGTATTACCATTTTTTGTGTATGAAGGGTGATGTTGGTAGAAGTCCGGATAAGCAAATTTGGAAACTAAGGTTCCCGTCCTCGTGTTGCTTGTTCCACTTGGGAAGCTTGTTGGGAGAGGATTTTAACTATAAGTTGAAAATTAGGGGCTGTATCTTGGTGAATGGTTGCTATTGCTGTCTGAAGGCGGAGGAAACATGCAACCACCTTCTTTTGTGGTGTCCTACTGCATACAGCTTGTGGAGTTGGTGTGTACAGTCTTTTAGGAATTGATTGGGTTATTGCAGGGTCGGGGCGGGGGAGGGGAGAAATTTGGGATTGGGATGGCTTAAATGTATAAACAAGTTAACTAATATTATCCTTTTTACTGTTTTTTGGATTATTTAGAAAAAATGAATAGTAGAGCTTTTGATAGTGAGGAAATAACATTAATAGGTTAAAGGATAGATGAATACATCATTTTGGATTTATATTGTTAGGTTATGACATTATTAATGATGTGAATTTTGGAAATATC